TATGCAATTTCAAAACAAACCTATACACTCAACCAGACGGAGCATGAAGGATTATCCAGACCTGACTCATCTGTGTAGATTGTGCACTTTAGGCTGAATGTTGAGCTGAGTGATTTCACTGCTCGCTTTGCTGGGTTGTACCAGTTTTTAAACATGTTATTGGTATTCCAGAGCTGTTTTTCTTGGAAAGAAACTAGGCTAGCAGTGGATGAGACTTGCAAAGATTGAAGACTTAGTTCAATAGTTGATGAAACTGTCTGCTGTTCAATTTTAAATAGGTAGGTCAAAAGCATTGCAAAGTTTTCTCTACTGTCATCTTGCATATCCTACATACAGCTGAAAATATTCTTGAAGTGAACTGGAGCAAGACAAGTAAAAGTCACCTTGAGCCGAAATGAGGAACTCGCTTGACCCAGGTTGTTTCTTGTGCTCAGAAATGGCTGTGCACCAGCAGCTCCGTGCTTAGGAGCAGGGGTATGTGCTGCTTAGGGCAGCTTCTTACATCATTGAGTCTTGTTCAGTATTTTCTGCATCAGATCCCTAGCTTCTGGCTTGAACAAGTATGAAGAAATAATAATAATTTAAAAAAAAATAAAATCTACCCTCCTATGCTTCCCATCTGTGGAGATTTTTCACTGATTACACTTTCTTTTTTAATTACAGCAGATCCTAATCTGATTTTTTTTTTTTTTCCAGCCTCAGCTTCCAGCCCCAGATCTCCTCTTAGTCTGTACTTTAATTTATTCTTAAAAGCTGAAATAATTGAAAAAGAACAACAATAGTCAGAGGGAAGGAGTTGGGGGGGTGGAGGGGGGGGGTTTACAGTAATTAAAGTGATGGCTGGAAAACAAGTGAGGTTATGATGTAAAACTGAACCTTTTTCCTGTTCTGTAAATATTATTCTGCTGCTTTTGCTGTTCTGTGAAGCAGTGTCCCACATGCAGCTAGGAAGTAGTGCAAAGGGGTTTTTGTGATCGGGGTTTTTTTTCTTAAAGTTATTCAAGATATTTCCTCATTCACTCATTTCCGTCGTGTTTGTTGCCAAGGCAGCTGGCCAGTGGCCTTATTAGCCATGAGGTGGTTACACTTCTTGTTTGTGTGGTACTGGAAACTACACTGGAGATACCAGAAGCAGCAGATGTTGCACACTGAACCTGAGTGAGTGGTTTTTGTGAAAAGAATGAAATGTTTCTGTCCTTGGACTGAATTGTTGTGTAGTTATGCATTATATCGCTTGTTATGTGCTGTATAGCTATGTTTAAAATGCCTCCTGTCTTCCAGCACACTAAATATTTACAGTGAGCATACGACCACTGCCATATGTTTGGAGTGAGTAACCCATTAATTGAACCAGCCCAATTTTATGCTCAGAATTCTCACTTATTTCATTTCAGTTACTAAATTGCATGTTAAAAGCAGTGTATGACAACGGCAGAGATCGGATGGTGAAACAAGAAGTGGAGTCATTTTTCATACCTCCTGGTCATTTCCAGTTAGCACACAGATAGAAAATCAATTGTAATCTGCTCATAATTGCCTTCCTGGTAGAATTATGAGACATTTCTCTCTTGAATTTTACTTCTTTTTTCCCCCTTCCTTCTGCTTCAATTTTCCCCCCCCCCTTGCTGTTTTTCCTCTATATGTCATGTGGAATAGGAGTTTGAGAGGGGAGGTATGGATGGATGTTTTTCTGTGTAAAGCTGTGCATTTTCACATATTGCTGCTAAGCAGCTTGAGACTGTCAAAAGGCATGTTCCATGCTGTGGTATTGATGAGCAGAAGTTGCTGAAGGTTTTCCTAACCTTGGGGCTTTGTGCTTAGATGAACAAGGCATTGTTTTCTTTACCTGTTTCCATATTGATTATTTCAGGCTAGATCACATTTCTTGTATAAGGCTGAACTCATCCAACCAAAAATTCAGATTGCATTTTGCTTACTGAAGTGCTCAACTCTGCACCTGACACTTCCACTCTGCAAGGATGCTTTGCCCCCAAGTTCAGGAATTACTTAAACATTTTGATAAACTCTAGCTCCTTTCATTCTTGAATGCTGGAATGCTGCAGAATTCAAGTGTTCTGAAGAGTAGTTGGGTTTTCAGCCCTGGACTGCTACAGTCCCATCTGGAAAGGTGTAGATGACCATTCTGAAGCTTGAGGGAGAAGAAAAACATCTCTCCTTCTGTGGCTGCTGGCTGTGTTCTGCCAGGCTCTCCTCGCACTCTGCCTGGCTGTTGTAAGGCTGTTTTCTCTTGATTTATGACACCAGTGTAGCACTCTGGGTTTCACATACATCAGCCTCCTCCCTGCCAGGGGAGATGTCTGTTTATGTGTACCTATGTGTGTTTGTGCACACAGATGAACAAAAAAATGCTACAGGGGTCTCTTGACCTTTAAATGTAGAAAGGTTATATGATGAGACTCAGGAAATACCGCTCCCAATACCTTTGTTTGAGCCCAAAGTATTCTGGGGCAAAAACAGAAGTGGGGTCTGAGTTCTTTTAGGATAAATACGTGTAAAACTTCTGCAAGATTGTGCAAACTGTTTAACACACATTCTTATAAAATGTGGTTTTCTTGAGGATGGGTAGAGAGAAAACAAAAGCCGTGTTTGGAAGGAGAGGTTTTGCTTAAATGGAAGTTGGTATTTTGAGAGAAGTGAGGAAGAGACAGCACAACACTAAGTGGTTGGGAGTGAAGGAGAGTTTAAAGGTCATTAGTAATCCTCCCAGTGGAAGAAATACAGTAATTTCTTTTGGTATGAAAGGAATGTCTTAGGAGGAGGTTGGAAGTTACAGAGTAGTGCCCAAGACTGGGGAAGCGAGTCAAGCTGAGCAGTAAGCATGCCTCTGCTGCTACTGTGAGTACCTGGCAAGCAGTCTGCACGCTGCGGGCAGCGAGGGCTCTGAGGCTGGAAAGAGTCTGAAACCCTTGAGTGCTTCAGTAATTGACAAAAACCGTCATGACAGTTCCTAAAAGACCAGTTGTGTGAGCCATCCTCCCATCTGAGCTATAAAAAGTGATGTGTTGAGAAATCAGTGAGTCAGTTCTTGATGAAGATTGCCATAAAACTTTGAAATTTTGCGATGAGTTGAAAATTTCTGTTCTGCTGTGACTTAGAGCTTTTATCTGAGAGCTCATGAAATGTGGCACTTGGGCTGAGACTGGCTGGAGGGGGCAGGCTCCAATTCTGTTACTACTGAAACTACTGTCCCCGTTTACTTTTGTTCTGCAAACTGGTGCTACTGTCATAGCTGCTACCTGCAATCTTTTGTCACTGTGCTTTGCAGTTGCATTATAATTGGTGCCTAGATTTGGATAGTTCTCTCAAATCCATCATCTGTAAAGCTGTAGTTTGAACCTCTCAGTTACCTCATCTTTCCTGCACAAAGCATTAAATCCTCATCCTCGATGAGAGACACTTCCGCTATGGAGTGCCATCAGTGTTTTCTTTCATGGAGCTCTCCATTCTATCAAAGGGAGGCTCTGAGAGCCTCACAGATTGTAGCAGCATCCCCTAAGGCCTTCCCAGCTTAAAACTTTCAACTCCTTGGAAAACCTCAGATAATCTCTCCCATCAGTACGAGTGCCTATTGTTCATCTTGCTGAATGCACCTCTGGAAGTGGTTTCTCCTGGCCAGGGAAGGGCTGTGATTGCAAATGCCCAGGGCAGTGCACCTGGCTAACAAGGCTCCAGCAGCTGCTCTGAGGTTGTTGCTGCTGTCCTTGCTGGCTGCCAACTGAGCTGTGAGTTGGGCTCTTTGCTGTTTCAGAGCTGTTGCAGTTGGATTTCAGTCTGGGCTTCCCAAAGTTGTTGCTGAGCCCATAGTTACAGCTGAAGGATGGAAATCAGAGTTTTCTGCTTTAACTCTAGTTTCCTCCAGACACTCAATCATCTGGCCGTTGGTAGCTTTTCGTGATAGCTGTTGCATGGAGGATAATATCTGATATCCCGCATACATTGGCAAAGACTTCAGCAGGTTCCAGCAAAAAAGTCGTGTGGCTCGTGAATACATTTAGTAGTACCCACTGGCTGGAGTTTGACCTCATCACCAGATCTCATTCAAAGTTCAGACATTGTTTCCTCTGAACTCTCTGCTTTCTTCCCTGAATGTACCATCCCTTGTGTTATGAGCAGCACTTGGTAACATCCCCTTGCCTGATGAGTTATGAGAGAAACCGCAGTTCCTTCCAGAAGTTTGGTATGTCCTTGCATTGTGGAATGACACAGCCAGCATTTTTCCAAGACTCTGTGCTTTTCCAAGACTAACTGTGCTTGAACTTTATTAAAGTTTAACTCTTAGTTCCATGCATGGTTTCCCCATGAGGTTTTGTTCGGTGTTTGGTGGTGGTCCTCCATTTGATTTGTTTCATAAAATGGGCAACTTTCATGAGACCAGCTAGTAGTGTAGCTCACATGTAACTGCGTGTAACACCAAAATCCATTGTTCTTTGAATTCCATCAAGATGGGACTGAACACAGAAGTGACTTTGGCTATTTCTCTGCTGACGAGAATACTTGCTAAGTTTTAGATAGCAGCTTTTTACACATGATATATAGAACCCTAGACAAGGAAACCCTTTACTGTGAGAACAAGTGTTGTCATCTCGATGCTGATCTTTCTGTTCTCTATATACAGAAAGCAGTTTGAATTGTTCATCTGCATCTTGGATTCATCAGTGTGCCTTTGGGAGCACTGGGAAGAAAATGTAGCAGGGGCTGAAAGCAGATGCCTCCAGTGGGCATTGCAAGTAGAGGTTAGTCCATCTGCTGATGCGCAATGCTTTTGTGGAAAGGAAAGCCTCATTGTCTGCTAAGTGCAAGATGACGTTGCAAGAAGAGGTAATAAGGCCAAGTGTGCTGCATTAGCAAGCCTGCAATCAGTAGATCATATAGTGATTGTTTGCATCTTTTTAACTTTGGGGCTTGCCTTTGGAGCACCATGTTCAGTTCTGGTCTCTGAAGGACAGCAAAAGATATGGCCTTACTGGAGGGAGTGCTGAGAGCAGCTGCCAGGGTGGGTGAGGGCTGAGGTACTTGCCTGCAGAGAGGCTGGGACACTTAAATGTGTTCAGCCGTGTTAAGGGACAGTTGAGGGAGATCTTATTGTTCTCTTCAGCTATATAGCGAGAGGGTGTGAAGAAGACAGAAATAATCACATCAAAGGCTTGCACTAGAGGAGTAACAGCCAGTAGTTGCAACTCACAGAATGAGAGCTCTCAGGGCCAAAAAGGCTTGCAGTATATTATTTTTAATGAAGGAATCTGTACCAGGTATTCATTCACAGGACAAAGATCTGGTCTGCTTTCCAACTTTAAAAGTAAAACCACAACCTGTGTACTAAATGTAGAGAAAATTTCATCTGCAGTATTCATTTCTAATTTAAAAGTTGCAATGTTCTGAGCTTAGAATGAAGTGAACCTGAGACTCCAAAGACCTACAAAGATTATGTAAAATCACTAACAGATGGTTTGTCTCTTTTTGATATATTAGATAATTAAATGAAAGTGGGCAAGCTGTTTTGTTAATATATAAAATACTAGTATTTCAAAGAGACGGTGTGTGTAGCTTAGTTACCAACTTCCTGGTGGGCTCTCCTGATTTCAGGAATACAGCAAACCTCAAGAAAACCCCATACCCAAGTGACAGGTAGTCTGATAGGCTGCTGTGCAGCTATTTTCTCTTAATTTATTTTTGAACTTGCATTTGCAGCTACAGTAACCTACTTACTATAGAGTCTGCCTATTGTTGCTGCTTGTCAGTTCTATTAAAAGCCTCTCCAGAAAGTAAGAAAGAATTATACACTAAGTGTGTCTCAGCAAACCGTATTTGCCAGCTCGGTCTTTCTTGCTTCTTAACTTTAAAATCTGGATGAAGATTTGGACCTGAACACACTTCTCTATCTTTTATCCCAATAAATTGTAAGGTTGAAAGTCATGCAGAAAATCTGCTGCTGGCAGCTCCCTCGAGGAAGGCTCCAGTCCAAAATGACAACTGCAGCAGCATGCTACAGGCACAGGAATTGTCTCTCAAACATAACCCTGTGAAGCCATTTAGGGCTACACAAAATCCAACCAACACCTTGAACTCCGTCCAGGAACCCTGGAGATTAAGGAGCTCTGTTGCCAGCAGCATGACCTGGAACACAACCTGTCCGTGTTGCTAGATGGTTTGAGAAGCCTATTTTCCTCTGACACTCCTTTCAAACTCTTAATAATAGCGTGGCACAGATAAAAGATGGGAAGTTGACTAGTGAAGTCTCTTAAATTTGTATTTAAATGAAGAGAATACTTCTTTTCACTTAACCATGTTAGTTTTGTTAGAGGATTTTCTTCTGACAGAACAAATTTGAATAGAAGTACTTTGCTAAGCATGACGGCGTACACTTTGTACAGTTGTAGGCATTGTCTGGACGCCCAATATTGTCACAAGGAAAGTTAATTAGGCAGTTCAGATTTTCATGTTCAGAAAACACCCAGACAGCGTGACTCATTTTGGAAGTGGGAAGAGATCAAATCCAACATGTATCACCGGAAACTTCTTTTTGGCTCTAGAGTGATTTGTAGCTTGGTGTCTCTCCTTCAATTCATAAGTAATAATAATTTAAAAAGTTACAACTTTAACAGTGTAGTCTTTGGCAGTGATCTTAAACTAATTGTCCTCTGGTTTGTGGCAGAGATGTGCAGTGTTGCCCTGTTGTCAGTGGCTCGGCTGCCATCTGGGGGCACGCAGGGGCTTTGGGCATCTTCTGTCCTGCAGCCGCCTGGAAAGCTTTCTGATAGAGCTGGAAGGCCTAGAGTGAAAGTGGCTTTTCTTGGTTTTCTTTAGCAAGCCAGGTAAAAACAAGATAGACTCTTCAGTCTAGGATTTGGTAACTATTAGTGGGTGATTTTTCTATTTTTTCTTTTTTTAAGGTTTTTTAATCTGGGTTTTCTTAATAACTTAAGATATTTTAGGCGCTTGCACCACCAGAAAAGGTGGACAAAAATATAAGGTATTGCATTACAGTGCAGTTCTAAAGAAAATGAACAGAACTATTAGACTTGCACTCAGCACTAGTGATGGCTGTTGTGTTTTTCCATATTTACATTTTTAAAAGGAAAAAAAAAGACTTTTTTTTTTTTTTCTTTCTGTCAGAATCTGTATCAGGGCACAATGCAATTCAAGATTCACAGTATTGCGTAGGCCTCACAGTCTTTTACTCCTGTGCAAATTGGAAGACATGTTGAAGAGAGTCCAACAAAGGGGCACCAAGATCGTTCAGGGACTGGAGCATCTCTCCTGTGAGGCTGAGAGCTGGGACTGCTCAGCTGAGAAGGGGAGGCTCTAGAGGATCCAATCAATGTCTATAAATCCTTGAAGGCAGTGCAGTGAGAACAGAGCCTGGCTCTGCTCAGTGGTGCTCAGTGGTGCCCAGTGCCAGGATAAGAGGCAGTAAGTGCAAACTGGAACACAGGAGATTCCCTCTCACCACCAGGAGCACTGCTGTGCTGTGCAGGTGATGGAGCACTAGCACAGGCTGCACGGAGACTCTGGGGTCTTCTTGGAGGTCTTCCAAAGCCACCTGGACGTGGCCCTGGGCACCCTGCTCTGGGTGTCCCTGCTGGAGCAGGACTTGGGTCAGAGACACCCAGCGGTCCCTTCAAACCTCAGTGATTTCATGGTGCTGTGGTTCCATGGAGAAGCATTGCTCTAGTTTTGTGCTCAGTCCATACTGATCGTTGGGCAGGCATATATCAGAACCTGCAGGCCACCTGGACCCCTTTGAAGGTTATGGCCTGGAGAGGAATACCTCTCTGCTTTGTTGAATGTTAAGTGTAACTACAGGCAGCTGAGCCTTCTTTCTGGAAGTGAAATAACTCCTTGCCACTTGTTTCATTGTTTTTGGAGATGGTTTTATATGTTATTCTATAGAGAAATTGTACTACATTTTAAAATGTGTTTGATGCTTGTAATTATTTTTTTAAAGGCTAGGCATTTTCCCTAGGCAAAGCATTACTCATCTTTATCATAACACCAGTTGTTTTTCTGAATTCCAGGGAGTTTTTGCTGGTCATTTAATTCATTCCTCTGCATGGAATGGTGGTGGGTTTTTGTTTGGTTTAGTGACCATGTGGGTACAGCCGTGAGCACCATTTGCCATTCCTCAAAACTAAGCAGCCTTCTTTCCAAGTGTTACACTTGAGATAGTTGGTACCACTCCAGTTGCTAACTGATAAAGAGGAATTTTTGTTTTACTTCCACTTCCTGATCTGAAATACAAGCACTTCCCTTGCAGCTCCCCAGGACAATAGTAAACGTAGGATATTTTGCTGTGACGCAGCAGTGGGCTTTGTCTCAGTATACAACCTTTGTCTCTATTTCATACATGCAGTGGTATGTGATTGATTTAACTTGTACAATCTATTCTTGCAAATGCATCGTTTATAACTGGATGCTTAGCATAAAGTTCTGCAATAAAAGTTAATGAAATGCTGTAATAGGACAAGCTGTCTTTCTGATTGCTGCAACAATACCACTTGAGTTACAGAATGACCATTTTGTATGCTCGCATAAAATCATTTCTTCTTAAAAAGCGGCTTTGTTTTCATGTTTGAAATGAGAAGAGTTGGCTGCAAGTAGCAGCTATCTTTTTTTCTTTCTGATTTTTGTTTATAGTAGCATTTCCCCAGTAAATTCAGCCTACGCCACCTGAATTTCCCAGGTGCTGCAGCTCTCTCCTCAGGCCCATGGGACCCCTCAGCCATGCAGTTCAGCCCAGTTCCTGATTGTCCTGCCATGTCCAGCCAGCCAGCTTGCAGCTTTGTGTTTCCTTACTCTTCAATCAGATGGTATTAGGGACCTGATGAGCACTGTTTGTGATGTCTGATCTTTAGGAATCTCAAAAAATAGGTGTTTGGAGCTTCCTGAAAGAGCTGCCAAATGCTTTATTTTGGTGACTGGATTTAATTTACTGACTGTGTTCTAAAGGTTGCACAACTAGTCAAGTTATTGGATTTGCAGGTTTTAGGCAAGCAGAGCTTACTTTGTTCATTTGCATCATGTATTCCGAGTGATGCTGTTGTAGCCTATCACAGATGAGATGGGAGATCCACATCGTTTCTGACTAAGGTTTCTTTGTTGACCACCTCATTCACAGTTGGAAAGCTTTGCTGTTGTTGCAGACGTGATTTAATAGGATGATGTGATGTCTTGTAAGCCTTGGGCAGCATAACCTTTAGGGATGAGCGGAGAAAATTCTTCAGGTACAGGTGGCTGCTTTAAGTAGCTGACATCATGCAAGGAGTCGAATTAGAAAATGTTTTCTTAATTCACGCAACTGCAGCCTGCTGGAATATTTGATATAAATGAATATAACACAAGTAATTAAATTCAGTCGTAGTGCAAGAGTGAAGATTTATCAGCAGCTGACAGTCAGAACTGATTCTGTGAAGACATGAGGTTGGAGTGTGGGAAGTTGTTTGGTGGTGTGGGAGTGTTTGGTTTTGTGCATTGTTGTTTATTACTCTACTTGTTACTGTAGAACACATTAAGACAAAGAAGGCTTATTTGCAAGTAAACTAGCAAAGCTCATACCCTTATTTTTAAGGCAGGTTCTCACACTGGATCATAAATTTGCCTGAACTGTGAAGTTCTCAACACGTTACACATGGACATAACTGGTATCTTACATACCAGAAATACTTATTTTGGCTGAGGGTAGCACAAAAAGTGCCTGGCTCCAGTTAGGAAGATCCTGAACTGATGTCTGATGCCAAGTGATGCTGTGTACAGCTCTTGGGTATAGGTGAGCTGGGCTGGCTTCTTATTTTGCCTGTAGGAGTTTTAATATGCTTAACGTTATCCAATACCAGCAATGGAGGTAGTCTAAATACCGCAGCAGGGTCTGATTAGCTTTTTCAGATCACTGCTTTTATTTGCTGTTCGCAAAGAGGCTTAATCCAGTGCTGGAGATCAGGCTTCCCACTGGGCTCGTGGGTAGCTTTCTCTTGGCCTTTGTGCTACAGTGGCAGAAATCAGTGAGGAGCTCCTCCTGCAACCAACTGAAGGGCTGTGAGGCAGCGGCTCTCTGGCCATGGGCAGTGCAACCCAGGAAAAGCAGAGCGTGGGCTTCTGCTGGGCAGTGTGTTAGCTGAGTGTGTGATGCAGCCATCAGTGCAGTAGCATGATGGCATGGGATTTCAGTATTTTTAATTGAGCCTCAAGCCTTGCTGCTATTATATGGCACAGTCTGTGTGCTGTGGGGCCTGTTGGATTGGGACGGGTAGGCAAGGCTGAGTTTGGGTTTAGGTTTCATTGGGGCTTACCTCCATGAAAATAAAACAGAACATACAATGTGCTGGCTGTGGCCAAGCTCCTGATTTCCCGGCAAGCATTGCATCACTGCAAAGCAACAGGAAAATCTTGACATCCTGAGCAGGGCTATGAAATAACAGGGAAAGAAGCTTTGTTACAAACGAATATGAGTGGCTCCCAGACAAAGGGTGCTTCTCAGTGCCTTTCTATCAAGTGTCCTAATGTTTCAGTGCCGCTGCGTAAAAATACTCTTTGTTCCATGTATTAATATTATTTGGGGTTGCTTTAATCAATTTTGCCTTCCAGCAAAACTGAAATACACCCACAAATCCTGCTATAGCTCTGCATTAGTGCACATCTATTACACTTATTGACCGATGTACAAAAGTGTCAGGAAATTCAGAAGGCAGTTTCTGAATACTTTTCATTGCTTAGTGTGAGCTCCTTTCATAGCTCTTCACACGTTGTACCAATATGATTAATTTTGCTAACGAGAAAAGGGGAACGCAAATAGCTAGTGATGGATTTGCTTCTCTTCAATATACAAAGGAAGTTTCCTGAATAGCCTTTATATTTCTGAGGAGCGTTTTTTTATATTATCATTATTATGATAGAACTCACAACTTTTACCACTTAAAAATAATTCTTTTCTTTGTTTCATGAATTAGAAACAATGAGGAGAAGCCAAAGTCTGCCCAAGCCAGGTGTTTCTTGTTGGCAGCCTGCTCCCTAATGACTCTGGCTCTCATACAGCAGCTGCCTGCTAGCCTCCTTTGTATGGCCCATTGTTGCTGCACACCCCTCGTTAATACACATGCTGCCCGGGGCAGCCCCTGTGAATGACATCAACTTGCTTATCTTAGAAACCCCAAACCTGATGCAGGGCGGGGAGGTTGCCTTGCATCTGCCTAGCCAACTAATTGTGAGCACCGTGGGTTGTGATTGGCTCCCCTTCCTCTCGGTAATAGGTTAAGCAAAGACATTGCGGGTCCATCTGTTCGTCCATTCATTGTTCTGCTCGCTCGCATCAAGTCTGCAGCTGAAATCGTGTTAAGGAGTTGCTTCTGGAACAGCTACAAGAAACCAATGCCTGTGTGCTTTCCAGCGAACGTAAGTATAGGGGCTTCTCTCTGCAGAAATGGGACATTTCTCCTTTCGGATGTTCCAGCAGGTCAGTGTGCCTTCTGACAACGTGAGCGTGTGCGTCAGCAGAGATTGGCACGCTTTGGGCATCTGGAAAAAAAGAGAGGAGAAAACGTATCTGAAGACTTATCTTAAAGTGTATTCAAGAGTGGTCTTCTAGCTCAGTACAGTCTGTCAAGGAACTTCTAAAAGCATTAGAAATTGTATGTTTCCAAGAATTTGGAAATGGCAGGCAGTACCCATCAGTAGAACAAATTTTATTGTAGCCCCTTTGGAGGTAAAAGAAGGTTTTGACTTTGAATTATGATTCTTTTTTTTCTTTCGTTCTTTTTTTTTTTTTTTTTTTTTTTTTTTGCAAGTAAGCTGCTGTTTATTGCAATTTTTGAGTGGTAGTAAAGCTTTTTTAAAAAGCAAACCAATTTTCCTTGTTATACCATACAATGAATAAATTTTTCTGTGTGTGAAAATAGGAAGAGCCCTTTTGAGGGGCACGTGAAGGTGCTGTCGTGCTATACAGACCATTGAGATATTCTCAGGTGGGAACATGTTCTACTGAAAGTTTTTGTACTTTGAAAGAGATTCATAAGAGTGTCAGATCTAGTCCAGTTAATTTATAAAGCTTCTAATCTGTTTTGTTTTATGTTTTGAGTTCAGATGTTAAGGTGAAGAACTCTGTAACTCCATGAGCTATGTTCCAAGGATCCTGGAGAAAAAAAGAAAAAAAAAAAAAAAAAGCCCTAAAAACAAAGACCTTCATATATCTGTTGAGAGGGAAAGAGCGTATATAAAGGGGTTAAAAAGAGGTTTGCATTTCTACCACATGCCCTATTGTGTGAACATATGCATGAGTCTATTGAAAGTTTTCAGAAGATGGGCAGGCCACCAGTTGCTGGTCTCCTGCAGTTCCAGTAGACATCTGTTGCCCCAGAGCATTAACCAATCTGTTCAATGGGACATCCTTCCTTTGTTGGACAGAATGATGCAGACAACAGCACTGGCTGAAATACAATGGTAATTAAATACATAGAAACTACAGCAGTAGGTATTTATTACATATTCATTATTTTATTTGCATTGTTGCCGTAGCGTTACGGTTTGGGTAACAGATACATTCATTTTTTTTCTTTTCCGATCAGCGCCGCACTTCTTTTTGTGACAAGTAATTACAGCGTTTCAACAAACTGCCATTTCAATATTTCCCGTTCTCTTTTTAGAAGACTTAGAAAAAGACTTCCTGTGTGAAAACAAGAGGAACTGTTTCAGTGTAGAATGTATCTTCGGAAACTTTGTGGAAGGTCTTTTGGGAATACACAATTTCTATTACCTTGCCACAAGACTTTTTTCCTCCTTGTTATTTTTCTCCATGAACAAAATTTGCATTAAAATACTTTTCTTATGTTCAGTCATAAGTGGAAAATATTCAGAATAGGCATTAAAAGATTAGGTGAGTTCTTTTCCCTCATTCCTGTGAGAAACAGAAATATTTTGTGTGAATTGAATTAATGAGTTGATTGTTGTTAGCGGTTACAAAAAATAGTGGTAACTTAAGAAATGGAAAAAAGAATATGGTTCTACCATGTGGTAGCACAGTGCTCATCCCCAGTGCTGATAAATGTCTTTGACTCAGTAATACAGTATTTCAGGCCTTTATCAGCAAACCCACTGTGAGATACTGCAGTTTCAATCAGGCTGTAGTTTGTTCTTAAAAGTTCTGTTGCTGTATGTCCAAATTGGAAGTTACTCTTTTTTTTTTCTTCCTTTAAATAAAACAAATTCTGTTACTCCACTGTGGCACAACCAAAAGTTGCAGACTTTTCTTGACAAGACTTTTTTCACTGGCTTTATTTGCTTGTTTGGCTCTCAGTTGAGTCAGAAATCGTAGCGGGTATTTTTCTCATCTGTCTTGCATTGTACCAGTAAGCCTGCTTTAAAACCTACATGCATAATGAGAGTTTCTTGTCAATAAAGAATGCAAGGAGTTTTTCTTATCTGATGTTCCTCCTTGAATAAACGTGACCTTTTCTGCTTTCTTGTGAGCTTCTTTGTCCTGTCTGAAGATACACTGGCATTTATGTGGACTATAAGTTGGCTCAAATAGACTGCCTCTTTGCTAACCACATCAAGATAAAATAATCAACTCCAGCGTTTAACAGAACATCTGATCTTCGTGGTTCTAATCCATGGGTCTCACGTAGGGCATTGCCTTGCGAGCTCCCATATTTAGAATTTCAAGAGATGCTGCCAACCATGGATATGGTGTGAAAGTTCAGATATTGCAAGCGTTTCTCTGAAAAGTTTGTGAGCAGGGCCTAGGCCAAATGCCAGGAGTAGCGTACTGCTTATGCAAAATGTTTCTGGTATCTTTAATTTTGGGCTTACAGTAGGTGAATCATTTAACTGCCCTTGAGAGAAAGAGAAGAGGCTTAGAAGAGGTACATGTGAGAGTGATGATGGACATTCCAACAAGGCACAAAGCTCAACTCCTGGCCGCTTTTGTATGCAGATGATGTGCAAATCGTCTGAAGTATATTTCATATAAAGGCTGATCTTTGAATACATTCATATGCCAATGAGGTTTTTAATCACGCTGAAGGGTTTTGTGATCACAGTTGCTTTGAGGCACTTAAACTTCAGCGAAGAAGCAACTGGAAGATGACTTAAGTATTATTTCAACTAACGCTTGACAAACAAAACGTCCTTGTCACTTGGACGCTTCGAGATGTGTTTATTCTATGATGTTAATATCCAACCTCATCCTTCCCACTTCAAAAAAAAAAATCCCCCTGCTTTTAGCTCAGTGCTGAAATGCCATTTCACAGTACATGGATTTAGGCAGCGCCCCATTATCTGGGCGCGCTCAGCACCAGCAGTACATGAGCCAGCTCAACTTTTCAGGCCAGCTTAGGAGTGTTGCCCATTAACAGGACTTCCTCGAGTCCCAGCAGATTGCAGGCTTGGGAACAATGATGTCGGGCCTTCCAGATTGCTTTGGCAGCTGCATTGTTCTCGGAGGGGAAACCAGACGCACTTAAGTCCCACTCTTTTTCATGGGCTTTTGTTCATACCAAATTATTCTTCTGCCGTGCTAGTATTCATGATGGTATGTTAAAGGAGTGCATCCTAGCAACTAAGGCTTGTTGCTAAGCAGCCTTGCTTCCAAGAGATTTTTCTTGTTTGAGGGTTAGTTTTTTTGTTGGTTTTTATTTGTTGGGTTTTTTTTTTGTTTTTTTTTTTTTTGGTTTTTTTTTTCAGTCCTGTGAAGGCTTTAGTGTTGGTTTTTTAACTGTATCCTTTTATGGGGACGTTGTTGTGATTTGTTACTAGCACTGTGCTATCAAGTGCATTACATTAGTTAATAAATCACTGTGTGAAAAGGTTCGTTTCCGAAATTCTTCTTGTGTTTAGTATGTGGTGTTGTGTGAACTCCCTTCAGTCAAGAGAATGTAATATTCCTTGACACGCTGTTTGAGGTTGGGTTATGGCCTTACTCCATTCTTATGAGGTCAAGACTGAATAAAACTTGAAGTAGAATATTTTCTTTCCTAGAAGTCACTCTTAACTAAATTATGGGGTTAGACAGAAAACACTTCTGTGTTTTCTTTTGTGTCTTTTTTGAGCTAAAAGTACTTGGGTAAACTGACTGTGCCTGATCTGTATTTGACAAGTTCAGTGAAAACCTTTGCATCTGTATATTACTTTTATAATCTACTCTGCAAGGTGGAAGTGTAGAAGAGCTCTTTGTTTTATAGTCTTCCTTTCATGGAAAGTTTCCTTTTTTATAGTGCCCCTGCAGTACGATTGCTCTGTGTAGTCCATTTTCATGTGTGAGAAATAATCTTCTACTTTTCTGATTGAAGCATTTAGCAAAAAATTCCCACCTAAAATAACAAAACAAGAGAGAAAGACAGAAAGCTGTCCTTTGGAAATGTACATTATGGAAATAATGCTTTGATGAAATGGATTTATGTATAACTGCCATTATGCAAAATTGCTCAAGAAAAACTGCAATTTTTCTTCTTCCATTCTTTTTACATGACTTCTTCCTATAGGTTTAATGTGGTCTAGCAAATGGCTTCCACAAGTCAAGTCCAAGAGTTGAAATTAGCATTTATTTTTGCTGACTTACTGGCTTGACAAAAAGCCTGTTGCAATGGATGAAAAGACTTTCCTTGTCTTTATTGACCACTAGAGCAATCTGTGCCTCTGCATCTTGTGTGTGTTAGTAACACAGCACTGTTGAGAGCAGTTAGTCTTTCTTCATTTAAATATCACTTTATAAGGAAATGCAGAAATAAGTCGAGTGTATTCAATTTAACTGATAGTGTCTTTTAGGGCCAGTAAGTTTTTACTGAATTATGTTTTCTGTTATAATTATTTATTTTTGCACCTTTATTTGCCTAATAAGCCAGCTAATCTTGTATTATGCTAATTTCTATTGAACAGAGAGTCTAAGCTGCTTAGTTTGAAAGGTTTTTGGTAGATGTATTTTATAGCTGCATTTTTGTTTTAATGTTGCAATATTGTCTGAAGTTAGAGAAAATACCAGGTTACCTTTAGGTCTTGGTTAGAGTTCTGAGTTTATGGCAAACTGAACTTTGTTCAGTTTCCTGTTCATTAAAAACCCATTTCTGGAAATGGCTCCATAAAAGCATTTCGTACACGAAGAAAACAAATGATCAGTCGTTACTCAGGTTAGCTATGTATGCTCCTTTTGGAAAGTTTTTTCCTGGAAAAAAATGTCCATGCTCAAAAAAAAGCACCAAGTTTTGTGTCTTTGCTGTGAGAGATTAAGTGCAATTCTGAGAAGGCAACAATAAAATACAAAAGAAATAAGATGTGTAACCAGTTGCAACATTTTGTTCTCTCTTTAGGAATACGGAGCGCTTTATATTCAGGAATACAAGAAGAACAGCAAAGTGGAGTCAAGTACATGCAGCAGCTTCATGGGCTTGAAGGATCATCTAGGGCGTGACTTAGGCCATCTTTATGTGGCGAGCACTGGCACACAAATAAATGCAATTGTACCTTGGTCAATGGCGGAGAAGCCGACAATGGATAAGGTTAATTCTAGGAAAGAGGATGTAGACAAGGAGGCATCTGAGGAGACTTCGGGAAGCTCCAGCTGTGACTCTGAAGAAGGCACAAATTCCGATAATGATTCAGAAAGACTGAATAATTCTGCATCAGAATCACATTTATTGCCTAAGACTCACCGACAGCTGTGCCGATCTCCTTGTTTAGAGCCTCATATACTAAAAAGAAATGAAATTTTGCAAGACTTTCGGATAGAAGAGGCTCAGACAGTACCGAAGGAAGTCGAAAAGCCCCCTGATGTGGTGAAAGAATATCAAACCAAACTGGAGTTTGCACTTAAGTTGGGTTACTCTGAAGAGCAGGTTCAACTTGTACTAAATAAACTTGGTACTGATGCTTTAATAAATGATATTTTGGGAGAACTTGTCAAACTTGGGAATAAAACTGAGACTGATCAGTCTGTAACTAATGCTAACACTAGTGTAATGCGTGAAACGTCTTCCATAGAGTCTCAGAGGTCAGAATCTCCACTGCAGGAGGATGTGACAGAGGATGGTGACAACCTGAGGCCAGTAGTTATTGATGGCAGCAATGTTGCAATGAGGTACGTGACCATGATGCTTTTTGCTTTTGTATTTCAATGGAAACAGAATTACTCTGGTTCAAGCACTGATGTACTATTTAATTGCCTAAAACTGTGTGAAGGTTCTCTCGCAAGCACCATCCTCAACTAAACAGCATGCCAATGTTGTAATCAGGTTAGTGGTCTGTAAGAATTCATGTCAGTCTCCCTGTGTAACCAACTATCAAATCTCTCCTTCCCATTGCCAGTCTAATACTTAATTAAATTTTGGTATACTTAGCAAACGTGTATTAGGCACCACTGCTATGAGAAATGGTTATATCCAGTTACATACAGAGGGGCAAAGCAAACGTAAGATTAGAGAGGATTATGAAACAGTGACTTAGAAGAAAGTAGCTTGAGGGATACTTTTCCTTGACATGTTGTTCTATAAGTGGTTTATCTGTAAAATTTGACGGTTGATTATCAGATTCAGAGCTAAGTTTTGGTGTCGCTAACAGCTGTGATTGTGCCTTTAGACTTTTCACTGACATACCTACAAGTGACACAGCTATCTAGAGCATTCAGCCATTCTGACCCCAGTAATATAGGTGCATAGCAATAAACTTGTTTGGGGAGAGGCATTAGGTTCATGCTTCCTCAGTGATGAAAGAGGAGATAATGCAGGAGTGCTCAGAAATGGGTTTTTTTTGTCAGTATAAAAGATCAGTTGACTAACTGATGAGTAACAAATTGGTTAACTTGTAAGGATTGTCCAAGTACTAGCACCACAGGTTAGAAGGGTGTTTTGGTCTCCTAATGAACTATCAGGATAGTAATAAAAGTTCATGCAAGACTGTTCGGAGCTGAAGACTTTTATTAACATTATTTTCTGTTCAATTGGATTACCTTTGGATGAGGTTGTTTTCAAATGAAATTTAAGTACAGCTCTTTAGAGCAGTGCAGTAGCTTTTATGTATTTAAGTAAAAGTGGCTAGCCCATAAACTACAGGTAATGCTTCTTTCTAAATTGGGTGTTCCAATGAGTTTCTGTTACCTGACATATCATTCAGCTTGAGTTGTGAGGGAGTTACATCCAGATGAACACTATTTGATGCTAAAATAGATTTGAATTGCATTTTACAGAAATACAAAACTCTTGTGCAAACTGATGGCTGAACTTTGGTGCAACATTTCCCACTAACTGCATCAAACAGGTTCCAGAAGTAGAATCACAGAATAATAGAATATCCCTAGCTGGAAGGGACCGACAAGGGTCAAGTCCAACTCCTGAATCCACACAGGACCACCCAAAATTCATAAAATCATAGCATTGAAACCACGTTTCTGATAGTGTTGTCCAAATGTTCACTGAAGTCCATCAACTTTCTGGTGAAGAGCCTTTTTCTAACATGCAGCTTAACCTTCCCCCCTTGGATCTTGCCACTGTCACTGGAGAGCTGTGATCCACACTGCCTCTCTACTCTCCTCATGAAAATGCTGTAGGCTGCAGGAAGGCCTCCCCTCACTTTCCTCTAGGCTGAACTAACCAAGGCACCTCAGCCGTTCCTCACACTTCTTGCCCTCTGGACCCTTCACCATCTTCATAGCCTTCCTTTAGATGCACTCTGATAGTTTTATATCCTTCTTATATTGTGGTTTCCAGAATTGCATGCAGCATGTGAGGAGAGGCCAAGTAGCTTCTGCTCAGCCTCTTTTCCTTAATGTTTATTCAACTATTAGAGTAAGTAATTAGATTATGACTTTCTATTCTCAATTACTTCCCTGACCACCTACATAAAGTGGGCCAAGTGTGAATTTATGATATGCACAGTACAGGGCCTTAATGTATAGAAAATCATAAAATAAAGACCTGTCAATTGGATTCCTGGATATAGATTAAAACAGTTAATCTATATCCAGGAATCCAATTGACAGGTCTTTATTTTTCTGTCACCAGCTGTAAATCATAGAATCACTGTGTTTGGAAGGAGTCTCATAGTCCAGTCACCCTGTACAGAGCAGTGTCAATTCAAGGCCATGTCCAGTTGAGTTTCAAACACTGAAACTTGCTGAGGCTCCCGTTGGCCCATTTCTCTACCCTTCCAATGTCCTTTTGAATGGCAGTATATCTTTGTGGCATATCAGCCATTCCATCCAGTTTTGTGTCTTCTGTGGACTTGTTTCAGAGTGCATTCTGTCCCATCATCCAGGGCAGTAGTGAAGATACTGAGCAATGCTGGCCGCAGTATCAGTAGTCCCTTGGGGTACACCGCTTGTGACTGGCCTCCAAGTGGACTTCATGTCACTAATCACAACCCTTTGGGTGCAGCGTTGAGCCAGGTTTCAGTCTGCCTCTGTCAACTTATGCCACCCATATTCCATTAGTTTGTCGGTGAGGCTGCTATCAGAGACAGTATCAAAAGGTTTTTTTTAAAACTCAAAATAAACAGCATCCACAGCTCTCCTAATCCACTGAGACAAACATCTCATCATAGAAAGCTGTGAGATTGGTCAAGCATTATTTGCTCTTCATAGCTCCATTTGACTATCTCAATCACCTTCTTGTACTAAATATGTTTGGAAAAGGCTTTCAGGATGATTTGCTCCATCACCTTTACAGGGATTGAGGTGAGGCTGACCAGCATGAAATTGCCTGAACTGTCCTTGTTTCTCTCCTTGATGATAGAAGCTCTCTTCCAGACCTCGGGAACATCCACATTCACTGTGACCTTCCAGAGGTTTCCAAGAATGGTCTTGTAATCAGCAAGCTCCTTCAGCATTCCTGAGTGCATCTTGTCGGGGCCGAGTAGCTTAGGAATGTTCAGTTGAAGTGCTCCTTAACCTCTGCTGAGGAAAAGCAGTCTTCTTTGCTCCAGACTGTTCCTTTGGTCTTGGGCCTGGGATTCCTGAAGGCAAATTTTACCTATAAAAACTGAGGCAAAGAAAGCATTGAGTACCTTCAGCTTTTACATATCCTTTGTGGCCAGGTACCCTGTCTCTTTCCTCCAGGGCCATATCCCATGGGACTCTTCTATACAATGTAAAGTCTGCTGTCCTCAAGTCCAAGGTTCTGATCCTGCTTTTTCCATTGCTCTTCCTTTTCAGAATCCTGAACTCCATCACTCAGATCACTGCAGCCAAGGCTTCCTGTGACCTTCACATTCCTGATCAGTTCTTCCTTGTTTGTAATTTTTAGGTACAGCAAGGTTGTCATGTTGGATCCTCAGTCACCAGAGTCAAGAAGTTGTCATCAGTGCACTCTAGTAACTTCCTGGGCTGTTTGTGTGTTCCATTGTTGGCCAGCCAGATGATAAAAAACAGTTTTGCTCTGTTTTCGTTCTGCCAGATGACCAAGATATGTTTGCTGTGCTTTGTCAAGTGGATTATATCATTAGCTAGAGATCAGTCCTTTGTTACAAAGGAGGTTCAGTCCTCTGTTTATAAAAGGCGCATCCCTGTTGTTGACGTCAGCTGTGCAAACAGTTGTTTACCTGCATGATAGTCTCTTCCTTTCAAGAAAATAGGCAATAGTAAATAAGTTGAACTTCCATATGCAAAAGAACAATGTTTGAAGCAGTGAGGAAGACACAAGAATTCACCCATAGTTCAGACAATCTTATTCAAATGTTCATACCTTAATGTCTGGGATAATGTTACAAGAACCTTAGTTCTATGATTTGGCATGGTCTTTTCTTTTTCTTTCCTCTTTGCCTTTCCAGGGTGTTGCCAACTAGCCCTATTTGGAGCTGCTAGCAGGAAAAGCAAGACCATAGCTAATCTTTGAAGAGAGATTTCTGAGAGCTTTCTTGTATGCTCTTGCTGGACTGGGTATTCTGAGCTATATTCTTACCTCATGTTGTTGTAAAATAAGTTCTTGATGCTGCCTTACCATAATAATTGATATCATTTACTGTAATTATTATTTTAAAAAAGAACTGCTAATTTTCTTTTAAAGGGGTGAGGCTGATTAGTGTGCACATGTATCTAAATCTAAAATTGGAACTGAACAGTAGATGAGATAATCCCCTACAGCAGCTGTAGAACTCTTGATACACATTTAGCACAACTGGGGTGAGATTGGACTGAGTGGTAGGAACCTGGGTTCTTTTATACTGTACCTGAGCAGTGACGTACACTGTCATTGTAGAAAACTGGGTATATCTAATCCTACTGCAGAAGTGTTCTTTTTGTGTGTAGTTGATGATGTTGTAGTGAAAAATGGTGGTTTAAAGTATTAGTCCGCAAGGATGAGAAAAGTATTTGTCCGTTGACATAAAAATGCACTCGGTGCCTTATTTAGTATGAGCTACTAGACAAGTAACACATTTCCATCCATAGTAGTTCTGTATCCTCATCTGAACTTTAAGCAAACCTACACTTTCCATTTATGTAAGTGAAGAAGACAAAGGGTGATCTTTGCCCATCGAGCAAATACCAATCACCAGCTCTTCACCCCTGTGTCTGCTCTCTGTTCTTCATTGTGTTCCCAGACCTGCTCTTTGTGCATCCCAGGCTGCCTCTTCTGAGCCTCAGCAGTCAAGAATGAAGGGGAGAAGGTCCTGTTCTTCCATGAGACAACAGAGACAAGGCTTTGAGATTCTATTTTGCCCCTTCTTTACTTCTTTACTGCTGAGATTCAGAAGGTTCCTTCTGAAGAGAGAAATATGCTGCAGCACAGTCCTTTTTCCGTGCTTGTCTTTTTCAAGGATAAGTCTGGGACTCTGAAAATTGCCTGAAACTAGTTGCTGCTGTGATACTTTTCTTTGCTGGAATCAAAGTCAAGCTTTTGCTAAGAAAAGTAAGGAATGAGGAACAGAGTTGTTAGCTAGAAAAACAAATTTTTCTCTACGGTGCTCATGTGCTTCTGTCCTGTATTTGTTAACTTTGCTTGGCTGTTGTGGGTACCTTCACTTTCTTTGCGAATGGGAAGAAGTAGTTCAACACTTTCAGTAAACCTACATAAAATTTTGTGATGAAAACAGAGACAAGAAAGTCTGAACTTTGCTGTGCTCACAATGACAGCAACATGAAAACAACGT